AAAAGTATTTTTAGAAAAGTTTTGTGAAAGTTGAAAACAGTGATGGAGACTGCTTTGCACCCATGAACGTTATGTTGGTCTATTGTAAACAATGAATAAAGTGTAAACTTTGTAGAGTGCATAAAACGCAGCATGCTGTTAAAATAAACAGCAATTAGCCTTCTGAAGTATATTGCATCCCTTCATGTGTTGTGTCCACCCCACAGCAACATCTGGTGACACCAAACGTGATCTGCAATTGGGCTGCAGGGTGACATGCAGCCAGGCACAGAACCCAGCACAGATGGGAGCAGTTGACTTTGACACTTGGAGTACAGGTGAGCCGCTGGGGACAAAATGGGAAATAATTTATCAAGTGAAGAAAACACTGTCTTATCTACATGGAAAGCTTTGTTGAAAAGAAAAGGTATTGAGACCTCTGACTATGCCTTTCGTAGTATGTTATGTGAGCCAAGTCGCAAGACTTTGAAACTGATGCAAGCACTGCCTTTAGTGTCAGAGCTTGGAAAGACATTGGAAAAAGACTATGGGACGTGACATCTAAAGGGGACAAGTCAGCTGCAGATTTGGCTGCTACTTGGAGACTGCTTTATGAAACTTTAAAAGACTGGAAAACAGAGCAGGATAAGAGGGAGTGGGAGGCAGAGGAAGAATCGGAGTGAGAGACTGAAGCTGAAGGGGGAGAACAGGAAAGAAAATTTCAGTCTGAGACTGTCCCTGAAGTAGAGCCTGCTGGAGCTGCTTCTGTGGAAATTTCTCCGGGGTTTGTTTTTATGGGAAACAAGTGACAAGCTGATAACACCTCTCGGTATCTGTCCCCAAAAGACTATGTCAAACCTGCCTATCCCTCTCCCGTGCAGCAGTTGGCTGAATAAGTGCTACATCAAAATACATTTCTCTGGCACAGCAGTTAGCTGAAACAACTTTACAAGAGAAACAAACTGAAGAACAAGTTGAGCCATCTGCCCCCCACTTCTCTCCAAACTGCACAAGCAAATGAAGTCATTAACAATATGTCCTCTGTTTCCCGACAGCGATAGTGAGGATGATGCAGCACCGGTGATAAGAAAATCTGAACTGGTGTGTGGATCTGTTTGTGGAAAATCTGGTAATAAATCAAACCTGCTGCTCCTTGGACTTTACCCCCCTGCCAAGTGACTGTGATCGCTCGACACCCTTTACAATTTTGGGAGCATGTTAAAAAGAAAGCAGCTGAAGTGGGAGATTGGGATTTGTTAGAAAAAATAGATCGACCAAAAATACCAGATATGCAGAGTGTTGATATGAATGTTGCTTGTAAGGAGCCTATGGCTTTTTCTGTTTTCAAAGCAGTTCCTAATTCAGGGCAAAATGATAGTCAACAGGTTTTTGCATGGAAAATTGTACAAGACCTTCAAACAAAAGTGGCCAAATTTGGTAAAATTCCTTTCAGAAGTAGACCTTATCAATTAACCCTCTGGCTCATAGACCAGCTGTCAGCCCCTTCCACAGGCAGATAATCCCGTTTAGCATTAAAGAAACTACTGCCCCCAGTGAAACTTGCACCTGATGTTCTGCACTGAATTCTAAATGGCAAGCCCTGCTTGGCAGCAAGTCTACAAATGTGAAGAAAACTGTGTGCAAGTGAACACCATTTGAGACCACTGGAACATTTAGCTGTTGTTTTGTATGGATTTCTGTCACTTTGTCAATGCTATGGCTGTTAATAGCATCTCAGAGCTTCTAAAATGTGTTTCAGAGAAAAAAAAATTACTTTTTCCTTTCTGCAGCTATAGGCACAGACATGGAGCATGACAGCATCAGCTGTCATGGATGTCCCTTCACAACCAAATGGCAAATTAAATGCTAAAGTCATCTTCTATGTTTATTACAAGGTAATTGCTTGTGTAATTAATTTGTTCTTGAGCCAATATTGTCCATCCCATGTGTGGGGACTGCAACAATTCAAATGCATCAGAGCTGACCCAGTGATGCAGACGAACATGTGTTTCTAAACTTATACAAATTACAAGTTTCCAATACAGAAGAAGAGGAAAAAATGGTTCTACTAAAAGAAAACTCTGCTTTTGTGACCATGCCCAAGTCTGTAACACAATTACTTCTGTAGTATATCTGTGCTAGATCCTACAATGAAGAGAAAGCTGATGCCCACAGCTTGCTGAGAGAATGACAGCTCCCATGAAAGGCAAAGAAAACTTGACATCCAATTTTGAGTTGGGAAGATAGGGGCACAAAAAGGTTTCCTGGGCACCACAACTCCACCTTTAGCAGTAGAGCCCACTCAGGAACTTAGGACTCACTGCAAGTTTTCTGAAATACAGTCCCAGGTAGGCAAGCTGTCTGAAGTGTGCAGTCTTTGGTATTGCATTCAGTCACGAGATCTAGGAAAGCAGCTACACTCAGAAGTGAAGGCTCAGCTGTAGTGCAGGAGGATTTCTGGGACAGCAGCATGGAATGACCCTAGGCAACAAAGGGATTGCCTTATTTCTTCTAGGTTTGTATAAGCTGCCCTGCTTCCATAACTGATGATGTTGCTTCCTGAGCCAGATTTTGCCACCAGACTTCTGTGTTTAATAGCCACTAGAGGAGTCATCTCCACAGTATTTTTTAGCCTTTTTTGTATCTATACCTCTGGCCTGCTATCCCCAGCTCCTCTGGCTTTCTTTAAAGCTACACCCTCATCAGTCTTGCTGGAGACCCCTCACGACTTTTAGTTCCTTTGCAGCCAGAAATGCTGCACAATTCTTTCTCATGTACCTTTCCACACCTTTCCTAATCCTTAGTTTCCTGGACAAGGAAAATTTCTTGGAGCCCATCTCCCTCCTCCTCACTCCCTGTTGCCCTTGCTTGCTCATGACAGAGTGCAGGCAGGATCCCTGGCACAGTGGTGAGGGGCAGAAGTCCAGTCTTTTATCTGAGCCCTTCCCTTTCCCCACTGGCCAGGGATGACCTTGCTTCCCTCCCAGGAGCAGGGTTACTGCCCGTCCTTCCCCAAGCCTGTTCCCAAAATGCGCAGTGCTGCCTCATACCTGCCAAGCAGACGTGCACCACAAACAGCAGCTCGGTGGATGGGTCGATGTCTGACAGTAAGCACTTGCTGTGGCCCTCGCTTTTGGCCTCCACAAAGGCATTTATTTGTTTTGCTGCCTCGCCTGGATTTGTAAAGTCAACAGCTCGGGCGTAGAATGCATCAGCACTGGGGAGCAAGAGCTCCATGAACAGCTGGAAGAGGGGTATGCCAGGGGCAGAGAACAGGCTCAGTGTCTTGGAAAAGAGCAGCTCCTTGTCCCCGTTCTTCACAAGCCTATCGATTGTCCTCAGGCTGGAAAGGAAATTCTTTCCGACTGCCGTGGAGGTGCAGTCAAGGTTTCCAGAGGGGGGAATAAATCCCAGCAAACCCTGCAAATCAAGTGCAGTCTGATTTGAGGCCCCCAGGTAGAATGACACCAAGGAGCTGTAGAGGCTGGTTGGGGACAGGAGCACATTTTGGCCCTTCTGTGCTTTCTGCAGCGCACTGTAAAGCCGCATGCCCAGGACGTACACCAAGCCACTCAGGTAGCCCCGTTCCTCCTTGCCCCAGGTGTTGAGGCTCGGGGCTTCCAACTGGTTCTTGTCATTCACATCACCTTCATATTCAGGTGTGGTTTGGGACTCAATGGAGACAGGGACAATAGTCTTTCCCTCCTGAACCAATTTTTCCAGCTTGTCACAGTCGGTCTCATTGAAGCAGTACAAAGTGAAAGGGTGGACGTAGACGCGGTCACAAGTCACCACGGTAAGGCAAGCCAACAAGCAGAGAAGATGTGCTACCAGATTCATGCTGGAAAATTGCCTCCACGGTGTCTGCTGAGAGGAAAAATGAGGAGGAAAGGAGACTGGTCAGTCTGTTTCAAATACAGTTTCTCTTAATCACAGGGTGAAGTGCTAGTGCTGTGTTGGAGTTACAAATGTGGGAATTTAAGTATTTAGTGGTGTTTGGTCTGACTCTGGCCCCAAAAAGCCCAGGATGAGACAAACACCAGTTTCAATGGCAGCAGCTGGGAAGTGATTAGCACAGATGTGACTCCACTACCCACTGCAGTACCCAAAGGATTTAGCATGGGAACTGTGTGGATGCTGGTTATGCCTGCAAACCAGAGCATGCTACTTCTGCAAAACCTTATTTTGCAACAAATGCAACAACATTTGCTCCTGGAACCTGGTCAGAGCCATCTCTGCAAACTGCTGCACTGAGCCTTGCTGACACACACACAGGCTAAGCAATGTGCCTGCTGTTATGCAGGAAGTGGGTTTGGAAATCAGTTCTCTTAAGGTCCAAACACAGAACGGTCCTGCTTTGTGTGTCTAGTCAGCAAAATACTTGGCACTAGCAGAGTTTTCATAGCCCAGTGCAAACATTCATTCTAGCTTCTAGCCAACACACTCCAGGCTCCCTTACACAAATGTGCTCACACTGAAACCATTTTCATTGCACCTTCTATGTCTGAATACAGAGTTAGAAGGGGTAGGCTGAGTTCTACTCAGTACAGGCAATCTTCTGCTAAGGTAAAAGACCACCTGCTGCCCTTGTTTTTCCTGACAAGAAGCAGAGAATTTTACTGTATGTGGATGTCACTGGTGTTTTAGTACAAAGGATGTAATGCATAGGGGGAATGTCATGGACACACACACACTGGCAAACTATACCCACTAATAAATTTTATATTTTTAGAATTTCCTCTTTTCCTATATCAAACTTGTTGATAACTAATTACTCTGCTGTACCTTTCTCGGATTTCTATTTTATGACTTTTAATCTGTGTATTTGAAATCCAAATTGAAATGTGTTGAAAATTATGCATCTGTAACACATATCATCAGCCAAAATGCTGTTATTCAGAGCTGTACTTTTATTCCACTATTAATTCCTTGTTTATTGTAGCTTTGTTCACCCTCTTTTACCCATTTCATGTTCTACACAGCTCATTGAATGGGCAAAATGCTATCAGCCTTTCCAGTACCCAATCCCTGCTCTCTGCTTTCTTTCTCCAAAGCTTTTTGAGTCACACCAGTCTGTCAGGTATTGTAATTCTGGTAGCCTGAGCCTTTTGAGAGGACACAGAGCAATGTCTGTCTCACC